CCCCAAAACCCCAAAACCCCAAAACCCCAAAACCCCAATTTGAATCACCTATGTTGACAATCCTTGTAAAATTATTAGAATTCGAAGGTGACCTGAGCTTGAGACAAGGACATCCTTCGCTTAGAAATTACTCTAATGGGAAATATTTTGGAACGTTTTGTTTGAATAGACTCAGCTGAAGGTATTGTCTAACTAGTCTCATTGATCACTAATTCCAGAATCTGGTATTTTGGAAATTAAATTAATTTATTTATCAAACAAAATGGAAGTTCATTTACTTTGAAGTCGCTAAGTTTAGCTCTTCAAATGCTTAGATCTGGCTAACAATTGTCAGGCGGCTAGTGATTCCTATTTCAAATATCTACACTGAGTTTAAAGTTAGAGAGGTCCTTGAAATGCTCTTTAGCAGCTAATTTATGCCTAAATTAATATTTACCCTTCCTTACGGATTTAAATAATCATCATCGAATTACCCCAACAAAGAAGTTGGAGCATATTCCAACTTGCTGGCACTTTTGTTGTTTTTGCCAAAGTCTAAGAGTAATGTTCTCCATTTATTCAACTCGGAAATTTCTAACTTGACTTAAGTTTTTGTATATCTTTCTCAGCCAAGAGCTACAGTCTTCAACCTGTTTATCAGTTCATTCTGAATATTTAAGGCCTCTCCTTATTGTTATGCATGGCACTATCAAGTCAGATAGGTTGGATCTGTGCCTATTTGGCAATATCGCTCACACATCTTTACTGCGCGAGGGTTCTATCTGAATAGCTTTCCCAACAAGTTTTAGGGTTTATCCAGCTGAAGATATGAATATTTCACTCCTGATATATTAAGACTCTCCTCAAGTTGTCTTCGTCAAGGCTTAATTCTAATTATTTAGTTTTTACTTAAGTTTCAGAACTTCCAGACTCAATCCCTTCTGAATAAAAATATAGATTACTAAATGAGGAGGAGAGACCCAAAATTCGCCTTGAGCAAGCTCTAGCTGTTATATAGAAGTCTCAAGATGTGTAACATAAGCTTTGTTTCAAACATAAGTAATAGACTTTTCTCAGTACACCTCAGATCCTTCTCTCAAAAATTTTTCATTTGTGTTTCTTCTGGTAATATTAAAAATAATTAATAAACTTAAAAATGGAAGAGTTTAATCCAAGATTCTTTGTTCGAAATTCATTAAATGGGTTTATAAGCTAATGAAGACTACCTAATATGAGCAGAGGGTTCCAGGATTAAGCCTGTACCTTATAATTCATCTTCTGTTTATAACAGATTCCTAAATCAGTGCAAGATTAGGCTTGAGTCGCTTTAGCAACTTAGCAACTTAGCCAAGGCTACTACAATGTCAAAAGTTGATAAAAAAATTATTCTAGCTTGATCAATATTCTTTAAAGTCTCTTGGAAGTCTCCTACCTAATCCTAGGAAGAGACAGTTAGGTGTTCTCAGGTAATTATTAGTAACAATGGTTGATAAGATGGCGAGAAACCTTAGTCTAAGAAGATGACTTAAAACCTAATGAAATGATGCACTCTGATAAATTTACCCCCTATTTGCTTCATATTTAGCAGCAGCTTTTTCGAATTTAATTTTCATAAGCCTTAATCTTCAATTTGGGCAATGATATCACTATTGTACACTCATAAATATTCCAGAGATTATTTATTAATTCAGGTAGAGATAGAGCAAGAAAAGTTCTCCCTGCATGCCAAAATGTTGCGATCAACATGTAAAAGATCTTGGCATGGGATCTTACCATTACCTCAACTCCTTTATGATATCATTAGCTTTTGGACTTAACCTATAAATCATAGTTCTAGCTAAGTTCCTGAATTTTTATTGGGATTACCAATCGTTGCGAAACAATGGTATACCTTTAAATATTCCAAATCCGCCTAGATATTGCGTTGTCTTCTTTATAACAATGATGAGAAGGAGTGAATACTCAGATCATTTATTATAGATATCTTTCAAAGCTTGCTCAGAGGACTTTTTGAGCCCAGTCCAGCCTTAAAACTAGTATTTTCAGCTTAAAAATATTTTATTAAAGTTCAGAAAGAAAGTTATCGAATTTAGAGTTGACAATTAGTGATCAGTTTCTCAGGCAAGCTTCCCACAAAGCGATAATTTTAGTCATTAGATGCATCCACACGCAGAATGTGGTAATTACCTCATTGTCATGGTATTATGCAAACTTAAAGTTAAATAGACAGTGAATGATAGAGCAGATGATGCATCAATTCAATAAAACTTCAAAATAATATTAACCCTCTAAAAAACCGAGTTGGAGGAGTGAAACTAGCAGTTCCTTATCCCCAAATTTTAATCGGGTAATAAAAGTTTTATTGATTTATCCATTTAAATTGGAAATTTTGTGATAAAGTTCTTATAAGAGCCTATCATGCATATGAAAGATATCCTAGGCCTATAAAGCTCTTCTACCATTAGTCCTGGTCTTTCCCAGATCATAAATCATAACCTCATTTTTGAAAATTTCTAGACTAAAAGCAATATGTCAGGTAACAAATTGGAAAACAGAGAAGTGAAAAGTTAAGCTTAGAAGGACATCTCTGATTCAGAGGCAACTTTGAATGGATATTTAGAGGCAGAATCTGAATGATCTCTCTCAAATTAGCAGATGAGCCTTCTTTTAATATTTTCACTCACCAAATACAGTAGAGCATCTTTGGACATGGACAGGGATAACTATATAAAAATTAAAAATTTTGATCTTCATAATATTAAAAATGAATTTACCCAATTTTGATAAAAACACAAATAGTGTTTATCAGCCAATTTGTAACTACTCGGATATGATCCAGGAGCTCAGCTCGGTCTATTGAATAGGCCCATTACAACAGAAAGTACTCAGGAGGCAAGACTGCTGTGTTTGTTCTTCTCTTGGATTACTTAGCATTACTTGTGCTAAATGTTCCGTTGATAAATCGTGCACAAAAATGTCAGACAAGAAGACTTCTCATCACGAAAACTCAATAAGCCTGAATTCTCATGAATTTGAGAGTCAACACAAACAAAGCATCTGTCTCTCTAAGATATTCGGTAAAAGAAAGAGGAAGACTCCTGAATTAGATTTACGCAAAAGTCTTCTCAAGCTCAGGAATCTCATTCTGAATAGATTTGTAACTGGATTTGCTTCGACTCGAAAGAAAGCAAGGACAGCCAACAAGAAGCAACTCAGAAGAAGGTCTAGGTACATTGGAGTTTCCAGAAACAACGATAACTGGCAAGCTCTCATCAATGTTGACCAAGTCAAGAACTACATTGGTACATTCACAGACGAGCTCGAAGCTGCCAAAGCATATGACCTGTACTCAGTTGCAATAAGAGGCCAAGGAGCGGCTCTGAACTTCGACTACAGTGCTGAAGAAATGCTGAAAAAAATCGAAATTTACCTTAAATCCACAGAATAAAGTCAATCATTACCTTATTATTACCTAATTATTCACCAATTATTTCGTCAACAGGGTAACGATACCCCGGGGTTTTGGGGTTTTGGGGTTTTGGGGTTTTGGGG